TTACAATTCAAGCAAATAAATTCAAATATTCTTCCATTAAAAAAGTTAACACATTATTATAAATTGTATTAGTCAAGTGAAAATATATATTATTCTTTCCTAATAAACTTTAACCTACTATAGGCAAGATAGAAGCTTGAATTTGGATATCCCATAGTGCTTTGATGATAATCAAATCTTAAAGGATTTTGCTTGAAGTAAATTACATTTTTAAATAAGACTGGTAGCATTTGAAATGTAATATCCATTGATGGAGTTATTTCTTGAAATTCTTGCCAAGCATGCCAAGCAAGTTTTTAAAAAGCTAATATTAATAGTTATTTATAATTGGTTATTTATTTATTTTTTTTGAGATGGGAGTCTCACTCTGTTGCCCAGGCTGGTCTTGGACTTGTGGGCTCAAGTGATCCTCCTGCCTCAGCCTCCTGAGTATCTGTAACTACCGGTGTCCATCATCACATCTAGCTTACTAGTATTACTTATGATGTTTCACTATTTGTAATTACCTAAGCAAATGAAAATATAGTAATACAATGTATCATATGAAGATTGTAACCCATGTGAAAAAAGTATGCAAGAAGATTAGAAAATATGAAAGTCAAAATAATCTATTCACTTTAATCATCATGACAGAAAATTAATGTGTTTATATCAACATATAAACACATTTAGAAATGACCATGCAGAAAAGTTTTAATTAATATTTAATTTCAAATAGTAATTTTTTTAGTTAATATTCAAGTACCACTCTTTTAAGAGATAGGCTTATAAGCATTTAGTATTTCTTCTTTATTCATTAGTATACCTACTTAATTTTTGCTGTTGTTGTTTGTTTTGGTGAGCATGTATGAATTTTATGACCAGAAAAATAGGCTATAAAACAAGGACTCCCACATATTTACTAATAATTTAAAATAAGCTATGTAAAGGACTAAGCTATTATCCTTCATTAAATTCACTTAGGTACAAACTGCTTGATTTGTCAAAAATTATCACTAAAATATTGATATTACTTGAAACTTGGGTGAGATGGGTGGGGCTGGAGCTTAGAAAGTTACAGTGAGATTCTGTGTGTGATACACAGGGCAGGGATGATCATACTAGCTACTTAGAAATGGTAAATTAGCAGACATGTGTTAAGAATCTGAGCCAGGTGTAGCAGCACCCTCTTCTAAATTCCAACTATTCGGGAGATTCAGGAAGGAGGGTTACAAGCTCAAGTCCAACTGTGGCAACTAAGCAAGACTGTGTCTCAAATAACCATTCAACATCCATTTGTAAGAGGACATAGGATAGTTAAGAAAATTCCATGACATTAAAGTTGAGCTTTCATAAGAACACACTCTTCTAATTCATTTTATCTGCTAAGGATCACATCCTCTGAAGCCTCTTCATTGTTAGCATGAATAACAGCAACAGCAATTCTCTTTTGTACCCATGGGGGAACAATTAAAAGTATCTATGTACTTTATCCAATGTGTCTTATTTTTATTGTTTCACTATTCCTTTCACATTAGCAGGAAATAATTTTCTTTGGCTCTCTGGGTACCGTTGTACAATCAAATGTCACACAATGTTCCAATCAATGACAGACCTCATAGAATCGTGGCTCCACAGAATTATAGTGCCTAGTGATATCACAGTCATCTAAGTTGGTGTAAGTACACTCTATGATGTTTGCACAACTATGAAATCACCTAAGGACATATTTCTCAGAATGACTCCCTACTCCTAAATGCCCCATGGCCATATATTGAAATTAATCACCCTGTTGAGTTGGATTTTGGGTTTTACTGTGTTGTTATTCTTGTTTTTCTACAGTCTCAATAAATTCATTCTTAATTATTAGTCATATAGAACAGAATGGGAATAACACTTGAACTATTCAAAGTTTAGTCCAAGACACCAATTCTGTATTTGCAGTCAACTATCTACTAATAAATCCATATGTTTAAATACAACCTTTCAATACGACAATAATTGGAATCTCATATAGATCCTTACCTCATAGTTGTAAATCTGATTTTCATTTTTTCCCTTGATATAGAAATTTTAAGTTGTAAACAAGCTGTGATCATTTTATTTCACACAAGTAAATCCAAAGGCAAATTCTTACGCCCCATTTATTTATCATACTAAAAGCAGACCCCTTTGGGGACTTATCTAAGTAAATATAGATGAAATAGGAAGTACTTCCATTAGAATATGACTAAATTAAGCAAGGAATAGCAAAATGAAACATTTCACTTCCCTGCATATCTGGCACATTCTGAAGTTAATAGATAACAGCAGATTGTCAATGTTTAGGCCTCATATTCTTTCTGCTAATTAAGAATCATTGATTATTTAAGGACTCCAACTCCCCTTACTATGCTTTAGTGGATGGATGTGACAAACATGTTAAAATTTTTTTAACATGAAAAAAACCAAGACCAAAAAAAAAAAACAAAAAACAAAACCAACAACAAATAACTGAAGAAGTAGGGATCTTTTGAAATTACACTAAATAAAATCAATGACACCTCCAAATTTATATATCCAAGATGCTATGCAGTTGATAAATTTTTA